GTCATAAACTTTCTCTTCTTATTTAATTGTTTCAAAATAGGAATTCAAAATAGGAAAAACAAAATGGAGAAAACAAGAAGGCTGAAAATAGTAAAACTTGTTGCATAGTTTTTTTGTTTGTTTAATTTATAGTTCTGAACATACCATGATTTGTTCTGTAGCCTCCAAAAGAATGCATGCTGGGAGATGGAGTTTGCATGTGATCTGCCAACTCTGACATGCTTTTCACTGGAATGACAAAAGAACGCACAGACAGGATGTAGAATCAAACCTACTAAAAACCTGGTTGTTACCATAGATCACATGCAGAACTTACCATATGGTGTTGGTGGTGAGATAGGGAAGGCAGGAGTGGGCGGAGTCAAGTCACTACCCACCTCCACTCCACTGTCCATATCTGTCCCGAGGGTCTTATAACTGGCACTGTCACTTCTGTACAGCACAGTATGCTGCAGCAAAACAACACAAACACACGTGACTCATATTTACAGAGAAAATTACATGACATGGAGGTCATTTATGTGAAAGAATGTGCAAAGAAGCTAAATCTACCTGAAACTGAGGGGGTGGACAGGGGGAATATGTCTGCTGGCCCCTGTAATCCTCTGTGTCAGCCCATCTGGACTTACAGAAACCTGGATGATCCAGTACATCATGCCCTTGGCAGCTTTGACTACGCGTGACACCTGCTCGCCCGTCACTGGACTGAACAACTGCATACACCGAAGCAGACAAACAGTGACATGTTGATTAAATGTTTAACAGTTTACACGCTTAATGGATTATTTAGGAAGAACACAAATGATTTTTTTTTTCACATTTAAGAAAGTGTTCAGCATATATATATACATATATACATATATCCTCCAGGAGAAAACAATTTCAATAAAATCCTTAAAATCAAACCAATATGGGTTCTACTTTACTCTTCTTTATTTCAGACAGTAACTTTACTGCTAATATTTACCTTGAGCAAAAAACTGATGGATGCCAAAGGTCTGACTGATGAGCTTAAAGAGGATGTGAAAGTTGTGTGTTTGCATGTGTGTGGTTTCAGTAAAAGAGCTGCCACTCATCAGGAGGGTGTTAATTTGAGCCCTCCCTGTGACCTCTGACCAAAAAGGAATGCTAATTATGCAGAGGTGCTAATGTGTGGGATCGCTGGTCTCTTAGCATGAATGATACACACAGTGATGGCTAACAGAGTTTCTCCTTGTTCTTTTTAATGATGCTCTTTGAAAACAGGTAATGAATTTAACACTATTCTTATGCAGAAAAGCAAACAACATGAAGTAACAAAGACATGGTCATTTAAAAAAAATAATCTTCTCTGTGTTTTATTAATCGAAAAAATAACAGTTTTTCTTCAAAATATGGTGCATCTATATAAAAAATGACCACATATTTAAATATGACACACTAAATCCTGTGGAAAGACAAATTTTTGGATGTTGTAAAAAAATAAATGTTAAAGTTAAACAAATATATTTCCAACTGCGTCATGTGACCAAAAAAATCATAGATGTCATATGAAAGGACACGCAAAATTTCCTTATTTAGTTCTGAAGCATGTTTTAAAGAAAAGTTTGTCAATCCTGGGTTTTGTGACTGTTTTTGATTCTTTCCTGCAAAGCACACCTGGTTTAAATTTATAACTCATTGCCAGGCTTTTGTGGAACCTGACGTTGAAATAATCAATTCCTTTTTATCAAGTGTGTTTGAGCAGAGACAGTTAAAACCTAGATGACCATAAATGTACGACTATCATACTTGTGGCAATTAAGGTATGCAGTATTTACGTATATTATATCCCCATTAACTGTACCTTGTACCTTGTAATACAGAACTTCAGCACAGCTTCAAAGTTTCAACAGTACCAAAGCAGTTCACCTGGTGCTCAACTTCACCATCATTAAAAAGCTTTGTTGGTAAAAATGAAGGCAAAGACTCTGTTTCACACCTCCAAATCATTATTCTTAACTGCTGCTAGTGTTTTTGGCTGGATTCACAGACATATTGTGTTAAACATATCTGGGCTTGAAGGGTTATTCAGTTCAATTGTCGCAGTGTTAATAAAGCTTCCACAGTTTTCAACCAGCTGCTGACTGGTACACATGCTAAACTTTTAGGGTATTTGTTCTGCTTATACTGGACAAGGGATGGTGGCATGTTGACTGTAGAGAATAACATTCAGAAGACTTTCAGACAAAATGATGAAAACATAGTATTTATCTAAAAGCGCACTTGAGGAGATGCAGGGTTTTACCAGCGTTGAATGTACACATGCTCTCGCCCACTCTCAAAAAATAATCGCAAAGCATGATCTAACTGGCTGGAGCCTGCCCTAAAAATCAAAAACAAATTAGGATTATAAATGCACAGGAGCTATCTTCTTTTATCATCAGAAGCCTTTGCCTGAAGCCATAAAAACTTTGCTGCGTTTAGTGGTGGTTCATGTAAACTAAAGCTTTTTATTCTTCATTCATATTTAGTATGCAATAATTTACTGCTGCTGTCTACAGGTGGGTTTCTCTGCAGGTTGTGTGATATTTTCCAGCACTAGAATGTGGTGTGGGAGGATATGAGCAATTTTCCAGAGTAATGGTCCAACACTGAAAAGGTTTTTACCCTGAACCTCAAGGCTATGGATATGTGTCATCCTAAAGATAATCCTAGCTAAGCTTGGCCCAAAAACTTAACATCCCTTACTGAGGGCTTGTCGTGGTCATCATACATCTCTAATTTTTCAGGAAAGACCAAATTAATTCCCACAAGAATTCTATAAGACTAAATCCTTCTACAAATATCTTAACGTCTTCAAATTTATTAGAACATTTTTCAAAATAAGATGCTGCCTAGCCAACAGTTTTTAGTTTTTTTTTTACTTTAACCTGAATATGATATTACTGGTAATCC